ATAAATAAATTATTTGAAATATTTAGCAATGTTCCCAAGTAATTTAAAACATTTTATAAAAAATTTAAAATGATAAAAAAAATAAAAACATTTTCCAAATTGATTTAAAAAGTTTTTATTAAAAATTTCGGTTGAAATAATGCTAAAATATTTTTCCACTTATTTTGCGCATCATTGCAGCACAATGTATGCACTGGGATCGATAGTTCGGTGTAAGTAAATAAAACAAATGCTTAAAAAATGAAGTAGTAAATTAGCACAAAAAAAAAAATTTAAATAAAAGAAAATTACACCTGAGTACACAATTCACTTCACTTTGGCGCTCATTTCACTTGCAACATTCTTATAAAATAACCATTTGCCATTTAAAAGTATACACATTTTTTTTTGTTGTAACTGAAAAAAAAAAACTGAAAAAAAAACACATACACATAAATCACCAATGTCAATAAACAGTTTAAAGTTTGATTAAATTGTCTTTACTTGCGTGGAAAAATACCAAATTTTTTTTTTCAATTTTTTTTTCAAATTAACCGCCAAATGGCGAACGCACTAGCAATAAGAATGAATGACAAAATAAATAAAAAAAAACCTGAAAATCAGAATGGTTAATAACAACAGCAAAAATTGCATTCACAACTTGCCACAAATTACCACTCTCACCGCCAACAACAACAATAACAGCAATAGAAACAATAACAATAATGATTATTTGATTGACCATGAACCACGCACTCACTGACCGCCAGCCATAAAGGGTGCATTCGCACTGCGCTGAGCTGAGTGGGAGCGCCACTGTGTGTGTGTGTGTGTGATTAAGTGTGTGTGCGCGAGTGAGTCAATTGATCAATCGGCATGAATGGGGTTGATGTGTGAGTGGTGGGTGAGTGAAAGAATGACTTGAATGAATATGCCACCGGGCGCTGCGCAGGCAATTACACGAAATCGTAAACAAAAACGCACATAAACAAATGCTATATAATTTCTAAAAACACACAAACAAATATGAATGCATTCGTGCTTGTGGTTGTGGTTGTGTTGCAGCCAGGACACTTGTGCTTTGAATCTGCATTTCAACATCAAGAATAACAATTGAGTGGACTGCAATCGTAGTAATTTATCGCATGGACAATCAACAATGAACATAAATCAATACACGTGCATATAAATTATACACATCTACATACATACATAAATACTCGTATGTATGTACATATATATTCAGATGTACTGTGCTGCATAAATTCCATTAACTAGAAACGTTTGTTTGACATAAAAATGCTTTCCGCTACACATTTTATACCTCACACATATCTACATACATACAGATATAGGACAAATGTAATCACACAACAATATGCCGTTATTGGCATACTCTTACATACATATGTACCTACATAATACAATTGAACTGCAATAATATTACAATGTAGCGGTATAATTTAAAAACACATTAGTTGCCGTTAGTTCTCTTGAGATTTATTTAGTTAAATTGCCTACTAAATTGTAGATAGCAATGCTACATAGATACGGGTTGCGTAGATGTGTACTTGGTTGGCTGGCGGTAGACTTTTTTTTTCAATGTAATTACAGTAATTTTAGTATTTATGTGCGTAAATTACCTTTAATCTTAGAAGTTTTGAATTTCATATAGTAAAGTTAGAAGAATTTAAAAAAATTATAAAAAAAAAATAAAAATTAAAAATTGATAATAAAAATATAATATAAACTATTACTAAATAATTTTTTTTTGACGTAGTCTCATTGTTTACTGGTAATTTTTTTATTACTAAGCAATTCATTAGCTAGAATTTTATTGGAAAAGCAATAAAAAGTATTATAAAATTAGAAATTTTTTTCTAGAGAAAAATTTTATTTTATATGAAATTTTAATTAAAAATTAAAAAAAAAAACTAAAATTAAATTGAAAAATTACAAAAAAAAAATTAAATGAAAAAATTAATTAAATAAAAATTAAAATTAATTGAATTTGTTCCCCAAATTGACGAAGAAATAAATGAAAAAAGACAGTAAATGAAAAACAAAATTAAAATAAATTGAATGAGCAGGAAATTAAAAAATATATTTAATATATTAAATAAATGTTTCGCAAAATTTCTGCTGTTCCTACGCTGAAGAATAGTATAGAAATTTATAAATTTATACCTAACATGTGATTTTATTATTTTTTTAAGTAATCTACCAGTCTTATATGTAGATTTTTCTTACATTAATTGCAAGTAAATTTCAATAATTTTTTTCGCTAACTTAAAGCTTGTAAAAAATGAGATCTCGATAGTACAATAGATTTTTATATTTCACAGAATTAGTACTGTTCCCAAGCTGTTATTTTGATTATACCGGTCAAAGTTTACAATTGTTTGAGTTTACGTAACCTAATTATTTCCTTACAGTGCGCTAAAAATATGCGCTTGACTTATGGCAGACGCTATTGTTCCATTTTTCAAACCTATTGAATCTATATTTCCTTAATAGATGACAAATTTCCTTAATAGATGACAGATTGCAGACCATATACTGATAAAGTAATGTTATTCATATGTTCTGAGAGACATTTTCCAGCATATTTAAAACTTACAAAAGAGATACAAGTGGCTCTTCAAATAACAATATTATCGCAAGTTTTTATTTGTTTTTTTTTTTTTCATATTCATTAATCCCTGTGGTCAAAATTTCTATATTCCTTCCGGTGATAATTTCGTCAGCTTAAATTATTCTAAAAGGCTATTGGCAAATAATTGGTATAATGTATTGATCCCGAAAATACTTCGAGTTCATTACTGCAAAAAATGCTAATACCAAAAAGATACTTCGATCCGCAAGTTTCAGATCTCAACTAACCATAAAGTTAAGAGCTTGAAGAAGAGTTTCTTCTCCAATATTAATAGCAATAATAAGGTTGGTCGGCTAGAATGCTGGTACAATTATTTACCTTAAATTGTGTTGCAAAATCTCTCTTCGTACTTTGGCTCTGGTTTGTATTTAAAATTACTATGAAAATTTTTAAGGTTTTTTTTTTAATTATAATATTCAATTTAAAAGTGCAAAAAATAATTTAAAATATTTCCCCTCCTACCTTCATTGTAAGAAGTAATTAGAAACACATTAAAAATTTCTCAGAAATTATTAAAATCGCAAAAAAAATATTCAAACTCAAATAATATCACTAATTTATTAAATATCAACGGTTTTCCTTCAAATAAATCACACATTAAAATTGCATGAGCATCCCTTAATATTAAAAAATAATAATAATTTTTACAAACAACAACAATCTGCATGCGTAGGTGATTTACGTAAAGAAAAAATATATATAGAACATCTATTTGTGTACATATTTACCGTATTTATAATTGGCGAGCTCATAACCCTATTGTTTATACTAGTTTATAATTGTTTTATGTATTAAATGTATTTATTTAAATAGTAGGCTTTTTAGTTTAGAAAAAAAAGTTGTGCTAAAGTTTAAAAAAAATTACAAACCCTAGAAGCAGCGAGGAAAAATAGTAAAATGTCACAAAAAACATTTATGAAAAAAATTCGTTTTAATTCAAGAGTGAATACAAAAGAATTAAAGTTTGATAAACCTTTTTTTAATTAAAACGGCTTGAAAACCTAGAAAATATTTATCTTAAGGAAACTCATTAAAAACATTAAAATATAAATTTGAGATTAAATTTTTTTTAAAATTTAATGAAGTAAAAAATTTGATTAATGTTTGAAATGTAAATTGTAATTAAAAATTTCTTTTTTTTTAATATAAAGTTATATTCTAATTAATTTTGTTTTAAAGTTTTTCAAAAGTTTGTAAATTAGAAACAAACACGATTTTACATTAAAATAGATATATTTTTGAGAGTATTTCAAAATTACAGTGATTTTCTACAAATTTTACCGAAAAAAAATATAAACTCCGTTTAAAAATAAGATAAAAAAAATTATAAAAGGGGGAAAAACTTACATAAAAAAATATGAAAAAATGAGAAAATATAAGGAAGTAATTAAAGAAAAGAAATAAAAAAAAGTAAATAATATATATTAATTGTTAGTAAAAACGGCAATAAAAAATTAATTTCAGTTTCCTAATTTCCAAAAAAAAAGCTAAATATAAGCGTCAATATCACGAAGTTTGGATTAAAAAGTCATTTAATTATAATGGAAACTTTTTTTCAACAAAAAATATTTCAGAAAATAAATAAAAATTCCTATAAGCATTATTATGATAGAGTTCTTAATTAAATTAAAAAAAAACATTATTTTCAATGAAAAAAGAAAGTAAATTTAAATTCCCCAATTTCCAAAAAACAAACATAGCGTCGATACTGAATAAAAAATTATTTAAAAAAAAAAATAAAAAAAAATAATAAAAAATAACGAAATTAATAAAAAAAACGAAAATTTTTATAAACAAATACTTTTTTGAAAATAAATTTGAAATTTGTGCTAAAAAGTAAAAAAATAAAATATGAAACTAATAACTGATAAGCCGCTTCAAAAGCTTACTACAAAAATTCATCTCAGGAATATCTTAAAAAAAATTTTAAAAAAGTTTGAATACCATTTTTAAGATGTCACTAGATATTTTTTAAAATCAACTATTAAATGTACTTCACTCTTGAAATAAACACAACTGCGCAGCTTTATGAAATTAAAAAAAAAAAATGTATTGAAATTATAGAAAAAGTAGAAATATGTTTTCTTCGCTATTCTTCCGTAGATATTTGCGCTAAATAAAATCTTATTTTGGTTAAAAAAAAATAATTCTTACCCTCTCACTGACAATTCAAAATTAAATTGCTACAACAACAAAAATCAACCAATTTCAATTTGAAGATTTACAAAATTCTCTCCCTCTTACTAATAACCCTTATCTTTATTGCGTAAAAACTTCTTTCCATCAACCAACTTCAACACTGACTTTTTTTTTTGTGAAAAAAAAACTGCAATCTCAAAAAAAAAAAAAAAAATATTAACGACAGACTCAGTGAAACTGCGAGACTGCTACGTAGCGTTTTTACGCGTCGTGCCAATACCAGAGTCGAAACGGAACTAGAATTGTCGCGTGAGTACAACTTAACTAAAACCTATCAACAACAAATAAAAAAAAAAACAAAAATTAATAATAATCAAAATAACATATGTATAAGAACTATGCTTGTGTTAAACAATATGACAGAGCGTTTCGATGTTGGAACTTTTTTACACAGAATTTAGTTGAGGAGCCGAAAGGGCGAACCCAACAGACACTTTCATATTAATGTGCAATTCAAATGATAGTCTGTAGGTGAATACGTCGCTGCTTTTGAGAAAGCGTGCACAATAAATGTACATTAAAGATAATTAGCTAATGTAGATAGGTGTAGTTAATAAAGAAATTGCAATAACAGTGGTGAGGGCGCAAATATTAATTTTCAGTTCGAAGTAGAAAAAACTGAGTACATATGAGACAAATATACGATAAAAAGTAGTAAATTCTGTTAAAGCAATAACTAGTCGGCGTGATTTACCTTTCTTTTTTTTTTAAATATACTAATTTGAGCTTACCCAGTGAGCAAAAGTGATCGGACTTGGCATAATTTGCACTGCGATGATGATGATTTTTGAAATTAACTACGATTTGATAAACCAACCACGGATTTAAACTTCCTCACAACTTTTTAGTGTTAATTAAAACCATATTGCCTTTTTTTCAATAAAACAATTTTCTGTATAAAAATTTGGTATCACGTTAATCGATGACGTTTCAATTTTTAATGCATAAAACGAAATTTTCTATGAAGTCGAAATACGATTACTTTAATATAGACACAGTTGAGAATTACAACACTCAATCGCTCATGAAATCGAATGGGAACAGAAAGATAGAAATTTAGAAAATTTAGAAAATTTAGAAAATTTCTAGCATTTTTTATCAATATTTTCTTTATCCTTTATTCGTGTGAAAATTTTGTATCATAGAAGCTGATAACGTGTCTATTAAGTATGCAAAGGGCAAAATCTGAAGAAAAGCAAAAAATTATTAAAAATTACTTTTACTAAATGTAGAAAGAGATCTCTTAAATATAGAAGAACATTTTTTTATTCCAAAAAAGTTGAAATTTTCCATTCAAAAAAATCAGTATTCAAATTCCGAGCTCTGAGGTTCTAGGGCATATTTTTTACAGCAGAGAATCCGCGTTGATCCACCAAAAACCTTCTAATGTTAGTCATTCAGTGTCACATTTCACCATACTGCCTTTTCTTATTTTTGTTCATTGGGTAACATTGCTCTCTAATGGCTGGCAGCTGAACAACAAAGTGTTTTTTTTTTTTAATGCAAAGCTAGTCGTCGTCAGTAAATAGTAATGAATTTTTATGATATTTTTTCTTTTAGTTATAATCAGCTCATCACTAATGAATAAACTTCACCATGACCCTTGATCCCATGCCACATTTTGTACAGCTCTTTTATAGGTTGAGAAGAATTGATTTTTTTTATCGTTTTTGATTTCTTTTTAAATAAATTATGCATTTATTAGTTAGAAAATCATTGATTATTTGCCAGTCTGAGAGTGTTAGATTTCATTGAATGGTTTGGAAAAGAATTTAAAGCAGATAATCCATTTGAAGCTCGCTGTTTTGCGCCGAACCTCTTACTAAATGTTCGGATTAGTCATCCAAACAGAAATATATTGAAAAAAATAAAAAATTTTGTAGAAAAATATTCATAAAGAAGTTGGACAGTCACTGCTCTATCTGAAAGATGAAGCGGGCTTTTTATAATTAAAGCTTTCATTTTCGGTTGTTGCCTAAAAGCTTTAGGAAAATGAAAGTAGTAATAAGCTTTGGGAGGAGGTAGCATTTCAGGTTCTTAATGAAATCTCAACATTTATTCCAGAAACTATGAAAGCTTCGCACGAAGGCTTTATTATTTTTGTAACAATTTTTTTAATCATAACGCCGAGAAGGTATTACTTAGTGGAAGGTATATTCACACACATTATCCAATGCCTTAGGTACAATTATCAATGACAACAGTACAAAAAAAGCAAATCGATTTCAATTTATTAACATTCATAATTACTTATTAATCACTTATCATAAGCGTACAGTCAACATAAACCATTACCAGGCAAAAAAAAGCACTACACAAGCAATTTGGATTATTTTATAAAAAACATATAATCAACAAAGTGATTCCAAGGAAGTATCAATAAATCGTAAATTGCGCAATAAAAACTTAAAACTTAAAAAAAAGTGAAAGCTTCTAAACTTTATTAAAGCATACAAAAATAAACTAATTTCACTTAATTTCCACCTTAAGAGCTTAGACAAAATATCGAAAATTTTTTCGTACATACAAATTAATAAACACTTTTTTTTTGGTATTAAAAACTTTGATTCAGTGAAAGCTCTTGAATTTTTAGTAGTTTTTTTTTTATTGCAAAGGCAAACCATTTACTGTAAAAAAGTAAAAGTGATGTGAAAAATGTTTAAGCCGGGAAAAGATCATAAATTTCAGAGTAGTGAAAGCTCTACTAAGCTAAATGAAATTAAAGCACCGAAAGAGTTCATAAATTGCAGAACTTTCATGTCAAGTGAAAGCTTCAATATATTTAGTTCCATTTTTATAACAAAAGCCTATCACTTTTAAGGCAGATTGAATAAACGTAGCAACATAAAATGATGTTATTAAATTTTTTAGTTTATTATCAATAAATTAATCATCAGTGTTGCCTTTTAAATTACCTTTGACATCAATAACTTCCTTGGAACCATTTAAATTTTGTTGAAGAATTATTAAACTATTTCTCTTTACTGATAAATCTATTTTTGTATTTACTTTGCTGACTTATATAGACGGTTACGCATTCTCACAAGAGGAAGGTGGCGCAGTCCCACAATCGGTCGTTATACGCGCGTACGACACGAACTTGCCGAAACCGGAGGGCAATTAAACGATTGAAATGAGTTCGAAAATGCGAAAAGGTGGTTTAAGGGGAAAGAATGCAACTGATCATGGAGTTGGGCAGTCAAAGTAAGCTCTGCGCATATGTGGATGGAAACACTGTGAAGAAATATGAAATACAAGAAAATTTGAAAATTTGAGGAAATTTTGCAACCGAATAAAAATGAATTAAAAGAGAATGGAAGAGCATTAGAAAAATTGAACGTAAGAGAAGAAATCGCTATTGGAAATGACTTAAGAGACGAAGTAGCAAAAAACTGAAGCTTTTCGCTTTCTCTGAAACAGTATATAACAAAACTTTCCTAAAAAAAAAAATAAATAAATAAATAAAAATAATAAATAAAAAGAAAAATTAAAAACAAAAAAATTTTAAGTAAAAATAAATTAAAAATTAAAAAAAAAAATAAAAATAACAAAACAAAATCAACACAAATAGCAAAAAAAAAATCAACTCAAACGAAGCATGTGAAAAGCGATGAAATGACTCGAAAATTGTCAACAAAATCCCTGGCTGGAGTTGCAATTGTTTTCATTGAGAAATCTCACACCACAAAAGGCCAAAAATAAGCGAAAATAAACAACAACTTCACGAAATGTATTGAACATTTTTTCTGTTTGTCTGTCTGGGTTCCAGGCGAGAATTGAAGAATTGAAGAACTACAAGACAGATTAAAAAATTTCGACTGTGAGAAGAGTAACATTTTATTAACAGCAACAACAACATCAGATATTTTTAGTATTTAAGTAATGATAACATAAACAACAACAACAACAAATCGGCTAAAGAAATTGTAACAAATACCAACAACAACAGAACAAAATGACTAAAAATGTAAGAAATTCTTACCTAAACTATAAAAATATAAGAACAAGAAAACTAAAACCATAAAACAAAAAACAAAACAATAAAAATATGTTAAAACACTCACTAATTACAACAACATAAACTCATTTTTTAGCATTTTAAGTTTAAATGTAAAAAAAACAAAACTTTAAATTCTATTTATATATATTAGACTAAGCCAAAAGGGAGGATTATTAGCCGGAAAATTAATTATGTATAAAGCGAAAGGAAAAATTAAAAATTAATGTAAAATTAAAAATAGCCAATCAAGAAGAAGAAAAATAGCCATTTGGGGGCAACAACATTTAAAAGTGGCATTATATTGTTATTTTTATTATTATTATTAACGTTAATATTACTGTACTATAAACTAATATACAGATATACATATATACCTATGATATATGTTTTTTATTATTAACATTACAATTTTAATGGTTAAATGTTTTTTTCCTAATTTGTGTATTTGTAAAAAAAAAAAAAATAAAAGTAAAATAAAACGAAATAAAATTATACAGAAAAACACACATGAAGACATTTTATAAAGAACTTTTTTTTTAATTTTTATTATTTTATTATTGTACAAGAATAGGTTAGTAAACATGATTTTTTTTTATACACACATTAATAATATTTTAAATTTCGCGATAACACATGAATGTTTTTAATTATTTTACTTACGTTTATTAATTTTTTTTATAAAATAAATAATTCGAAATATTTTTTTTTTTAATTTAATTCGAAAATTTGGTACAAAAACACACATTGGTATTTCATACATACAGATTAACAAATGTTATTACTATTTTTTTTTTAAATTTTTCTATTTTATTTAAATGCTCAAAATGAGCAATATTTCAAATAATTTCAAATAAATTAAATTTCACCTTTTTTTTAATATTTATAACATCATATGCCAAAGATGAATAAATGTTATTTTTATTTCAAAGAAAAATTTTTTAAATATACTAAAATTTTTTAGTAATTTTTATTGAAAAAATTTTGTTTTCCACAATCTTTCTCTTAGCTTATAAAATTTTTATGTATTAAAAAATAAAAAATAACACATTGGTACCTTATAATTACTTCAGTGCAGCTTAAATGAAAAAAGGTAAAATTACCAAAAAAAAAAAAAAACTTTAATAGTTATAAACAAAAGCATATTGCATACGTATATACGTATTCATTACATTTAGCTAACTGGCATCGTATTATATGTATTTAGCATCATATATACTATAAATATTTGGAAAATTTACACTCTTTTTAGCTAAATTGGCACTTTGATATAAGAAAACTTAATTGCTAAAAATATTTAATGCGAATTAAAAGACAAACAACTTGAAATTACAATTAAAAAAAATGAAAAGAATATTAAAAATACGCTGAAGACAGAACTTAATTATTCAACAAAAAAAAAAAAAAAAAAGAATGCAAAGTTTTACAAATAAAAGTAGCTTTGCTGTAAATTTATAAAACTCTAAATGTACAGATTGAAAATTGTGCAAAATCTTTAGCTTTTTTCAAACTATATTTAAATGTTTTATTAGTATTTGTACATGTATTAGCACCAAAACTCACCTCTTAATGTGCTATGTATCTCACTTCTATGCTTTAATGTGGAAAAAATATTAACTATTTTACAAATAACTTTTATAACATTTTTTAAAACATTTTAAGCAAAAAGCTTTGTTTTTTGAATCTTTAATTTGTTTTCTATCTATATACAACTTTGTTTTATTTTTATGTCTTGATTTGNTTAATGTTATAATTTAATCTGAGAAATACTTAGTGTGACCTTTTACTACACGTCCTATAATATGACTATCATTTTCCTAATTACTTATGGATAAAAGAATAAATATATTATTATAGAAATATATAGTAAATATATATATATACTACCCAAGTATTATACTTATAGAGCGAAAGTAACATTGTTAACAAAACCAACATTAACATACATGCAAACAAACATATGTACATACATATATATATGTATATATGTATAGTTATGTGTTACATAATACACAACTGTTAAAAAGCAGTGAAATTTTAGTAGAGAAAATTCAGAAAATCGACATAAATTTTAATAGCAAATATTTTACACATTTACATGTCGCATAACATTTTATTTTTGTTGTATAATATTTATATAACGGTACATAGATGAGTACATCAACATAAACAGCACTATAGTAAAATTGAACAGATATTGAGATGAAACATTTTTTTCGGTGTATTTTTACATTAATAAGAAATATATGCGAAATCATCTACACATACACTCAAATAGGCAAGCACACATAAGAGGCATACATACATACATAATATACAGAAAATAACAGTAATTAAATAGAATTTCTATTTTAAAAGCGAATAAAGTATAACTTTATATGTATCATAAAAATGTGTGTTTTATTAAATTACAATAAATATTTCATGAGGTAAGAGAAATTAAAATGTAGCATATCCACAGGCGCATTTTTTAAAATCTTCATTAATTGCATAAATTTCTACAATTAATATATGCTACAATTATATTTAACTAATTTATTTGATTCTCACATCTGGTGGTTATACATTAAATTTTTTCTTTATGGTTCTTTATGAATTTCCAATTCTTATAAATTTTTTTAAAACATTTTTAATGAAACATTGAATATATATAAAATTATACAGAATTTATTGTAAAATATATCTCATTAAAAATCACGTAATTTTCAAAAGAAAATTTTATAAAAACAATGAAATTAAAGAATGAAATAAACGAAGTTGAAATGAAAAAAAAAAAAAAATTTGTAGAGAATTAAGTGAAGAGGACTTCATTATAGCTGAACTGCATAAAACCGTTATTATGGGCTAATATAGCAATTATTCCGTTTAAATCCCTTTACTGGTGGGTGTCTCGGCTTTACCGAGAACAAGCGGCGCTCTGGCGGAAAGTTAATGCAATATTGAGCATAGTTGAGTTCTTCACCTTTGAGAGATTTGTTTTTATACAAATGTGTGCGTGGGTGCGTGTGTTCTCGCACTATATATTTATGTTGGAAAAATAGAAACAACAAAATTATGAGCTTAGAAATAAAAAAAAGCAAAGATTCCTTTCCCTAAAGTCAAAAATCTCAAAGGTATGACTTTAGGACACGGTAACATGAACGGAACCATCGGATTGCTAATAGAAATGATAACCAACGAACCATTTATCTATGGTAACACTAGGTGGGATTGCTCTCATTGTAGGTATTAGAAGGGTCATTGAAAAAAAAAATATTTTAATGGTGGGAGTTCCTCATCTTCATTTAAGACTTAGCTAAGTTGTCACACTCGCTCCTTTCCGGAAGCTATTTAGCAGAAGTCAGGTCAGTTTTGTAGAGAGTAGAGAGCATAATTCGGAATATACATATGTATCTCGCTGTTCATAAGCTAAAGCTTTCGAGATTACTTAGTGCCTCAAGATCTTACTTTTGCTTGGCCACATCAGTGCTGACGTTCACACCGTTTGGGTGAACTCGACTGTGCAAGGCAGCCAAAAAAGAAGTGAGAGGGCTGGCACACCCTGCGATTTCCAACTGTGATATATTTATGTATAAAGTATGTAATTGGCGCCTTGTAACCGCTGAAGCGACTTTCGGCCAGTTTACCCAGTTTGTTGTAATCGTGGAAAGATCTTCTTGCCGGATTATTGAGTATGAAGATATTTTCATCCACGGATTCGGTTACAAAAAACCCTGCAGCCTCCATATTAGCAGAAATTTCAGCTTGAAAAATACTAAAATGACAGGGTTATCTGAAAAGGAGCTCCATAAGTTGATATCCCTCATGCTTCAGACCGTCGAAAGTTCTCACTTCTTTCTTTCTTCTAGTGATCTGGTTCGTTCTGATGTTGCTGGAGCTAAACAGCAGTCTTCTCTGCTGTTTATTATGAAGTAAGCGTGTGTGACTGGACTTTTTTTGTTGTAATTTACACTTCGTAGAATCCGTTCGGAGTTCCCCATCTGACGCTGCCAAACATAACCTTTAAATTTTTGCAACCCTTCCATTGTTTTTTGCAAATTTATATACAAACTTCTCAACTGTATTCGAATTACCGTAAATAAACTTGAAAATTTAATCAAAATTCTCACTAAAGTTTTCAAACACATGCAAGGGCAATGAAAGCAATAAAAAACTAAAATAAAAATAGAAATAAAAAAAACTCCACCAGACAACATCAAAAGCGATGAACTCGCTCACACAGTGGGGTAAAACAAATGTAGAAAAATATTCATAATAAATACGTAAGCTCACACTTTCAAGTGTATGTATGTATGTGTACATACATATGTATGTGTATTTACTCCAATATGAAAAGACGAAATGTGAAAAGTATAAAATTGTAAAATCAAATCACAGCGGGTGTCCCACCCGTTGCTACTAAATCCCAACTACACCTACATATATGCATTTCCATTACAATAACAACAACATAATAATAATAATAATA